GATGATGATGATGATGATGATGATGATGATGATGATGATGATGATGATGATGATGATGATGATGATGATGATGATGATGATGATGCAGAGGCCGGTCAGTAAATTCGCCCTAAATCCCGAGCCACCTCGCTCCGCATTGAGGGTAATGTTTCGAGGTTGATAAGGGATCACTTTGGTTTATTTTTCTGCGCGGTAGTCTAGACATGGAACGGTGGTTAAGGGGTTGGCAAACGGGTTGGCCGCACTGCGTCATTCGATGGGTTAGAAAGGCCGGTGAGCGAAGAGATAATAGGCTGAACAATATGCTCAGGATGAAGTTTGGTTGAGATAACCCAAACTGAGACTTTGGCTCAAAAGCCTGACTCACACGGCAGCGAGAGGATGCACAAATGTGTTTGGGAGCCGCGGGGAAGTGGGTGTTAAGGTTTCTTAGAGGGATTTCTTCGGGAGCCATTTGGATTCAGGAGACCGGCCTGGCCTGAGGACGCAGGGCTGCTACATAACGACGACTTAAAAATATGCTCCAGTGACACCGTTGCTATAAAAACTGTCATCGATGCCTGTTTAATATGAGCACACCAAAACTTGTTGCCTACGAGAAAGCGGAACAAATATCTTTTTTCTGACCTACTTCACTCGCCGGCCCCCCAATCTCGCTGTGCAATACCGGGAGGATAATGGTGTGGATTTCCACGGACCCTTCTCCTCCGCATGTGTTTTTGTTTCCCGTAGAAGACAAAATAGTCAATCCGATCCGTCATTCCTCTCCATACATCGACCCCACAACATCCACCTGACTTACTTCAATCTTGTCCGATCTCTTTTGCAGCGTTGCAATGAGGTGTGAACTCCCTGACTCCGACGCGATGAAATAACACCAAGGAATGCCTAACGTAGAGCTATCAAAACTCACAGAACCCTTTACTGCTGCTAACTAGTCAGATGTATAATCTAATACAAACCTCCCCATCCTGAATAACGTCCGCTCCGTGCCTGCCTTACCCACGTCTGTCGGACGTTTAACGACAACACCTGTTTTTTTCACTCTTTACCATAGTATTGACTTACTTGGCCACAAACACAGTCATCCACGGGAGATATGCTAGCTGGCCCGCACGAAATTACTCCTTAATAGAACTGGATTCGGATTCTTGAATCGGTAGACTGGATCAAATATATCAATTCATCATCATC